AGATAATTTTGTACTCTATACATTGATGCTGTTCATTTTTTTCTAATTTTAATTTTTCACCCCTCTTCTTGCTTATTGATATATGATGTCGATACGTGATTTTTTGTAAATTTTTCTCTACCAATTCAAATAGAACCAAATCATTGGCGAAACAGTCCAAAAAATTAACCAGTCTTTTGGCAATGATAGTGTTGGTTTTCGAAATTTAGTTTCGGAGATTGTAGCCTCGAAGATGACCTTGGTGGAGACTAACCCATCACGAACGATGCGTGAAATGGCGAATAAACTTGGCGTCAGCTCCCATACGAAAAGTTGATGCCTCACGATTTGAACGATCGACAGAATTTTTCACGTTCCGAGGTCTGTAGTTCTTTGCCTTTGCGCAACCAAAACGATCATTTTTTGGATCTTGTCGCCACCTGTGATGAAAATTGGATCATCTGCGACAACAGGAGACGTTCAGGACAGTAGTTGGACACCAATAAGCCACCTAGGCATTTACCAAAGGCGAAAACTCACCAAAAAATATCATGGTTACTATATGGTGGTTACTGTATCATTACTGGTGTGATTCACTATAAGTTCCTGCAACCGGGCCAAACCATCACAACAGAGTCCTATTCGAGAGTCCTATTCGAGGAGGCGAAATATCTTGGCATTATCCTTGATAAAAGACTCACCTGCAAAGCTTACTTGAATGGAGTTTCACACAAAGCCAGACTGTCGCTATTGACATGTCAAAGGATTTGTGGTAAAACTTGGGGTTTAGGTCCCAAACATATACACTGAATTTATCTGATGATTGTTAGATCAATTATCATTTATGGTGCAATTGCCTGGTTGGCGAAGGCTTTACAGAAAACGGCCCAAGCGAAGTTCTCTGGCTAAAGAGACAGGCTTGTCTGGCTATCAGTGTTGCCATTAGTACCACACCGTCAGCGGCCATGGAGATCCTTCTAGATTTACCTCCTCTCCATATTCTTCTGGAGAGAGAGGCTAGATGGACTGCATACAGACTTGTACACATTGGCAATTGCACAAATCAATTTAATGCAGAGTGCAACAGACTATTGCTTGACACTGGAAGTCACCTCATAATGGAAATGACCTCTGACTTTATGCCTCCAAATGTCAACTACGAACTGCCTTACAAAGTACTATTCTCGATTATAGAGGACTGGATCCTCCAGGAGAAGAAAATATTAAGAGCAGATAGTTGTTGGTTCACAGAT